TTGATTGTGAAATAATCAAAATAAATCAATGGAAATTTCTTGATCTATATTACATCAGCAATGGATGATATTGATGATTCTTCCAAAAATTTTAAACATATTCGTGAAAGAACATTTTGCAGTGTTGATGCTACGAGTTACTGCACATTACAATATATATATAACATAAATAGTTACAAAGTTCTTGTCCATTAATTTCAGTATAAATGAATTACCCTGACCATTTTCAAAACATACTTTTATATAAATATTTTCTATTATATTTTGCATACAGAAAATTGTACAACCAAAATAACACATGAGTTACAAATTAAGTAAATACATAACAAAGGTATAATATTCAAGGGGATATTTTAAAAAAATATTTTAAATATTTCCCTAATGAAATTAACACATTTTTTGTATTTTCACTAATATATGTATATCTATTATAGAATATTACAGATTATCACTAACATACTAGAATACTTTTTTAATGGAAATTTGTATTTAATTTATTAAATTGTTCAAATAACGATGAATTCATAAGAAATAATATAAAAAATATTAAATAAATTAAAACTAAGCAAGTGATATATACTATTGATGTTAATTTAAGTACTAAATATCTAATTCATTTGAATAAATAGCTAATATATATAATGTGTATAAATGTATAAAGTATACCTGAAACTTTGGCAAAAATATAGAATATTAGAATAAGTAACTAAATAATAAGGGAAAAATATGCAGTTAGTTTTGACAAAAATATAGGACACTTTGTATTGTGAATTTTGGTGGGTAAAAATAGAAATTTAAATTGGTAAAAAAATAAAATAATAAAATTTGGTATTAGTGAATCCGTTTTCTAGAGATTCAAACATTGTAATTAACATTAAATTACGTAATAACAAAGATATCGAGTTATAACTCTCATTCCATGTGTAAAATAAATATTCATAATTTTTTTATTTTCGACAGTTATAAATATAATGTTAACTTTTTTCGAATATAAACATGTAACACTTAATTATAATTGACTCATGATCTCAATCATTAAAATTTCTATAACATTCACAAAAACCCTTCTAATATGAATCAACATATGCTCACTAGTGACTCGCTTCAAGAGATATTTCCTGGAGTTCTAGTGAGAAGCAGTGACCAGTGAACTTTAACTGGGTCTGTTGTGAGATAGTAACTCACTGAAGACAAAGGTGAACGGTGGCGCGAAATCTGTGGATTAATTGAAGTTGGAGATTAATACAGTTGGATGCCGGCTAGCTCATTGGTCTAGACATTAAGCTACCGCGCACGAGACCGACAGGTCGTGGGTTCGAATCTCTCGAGGCAGGATCGTGAATGTGCACTACTGGAGAGTCTCACAATAAGACAAAATGGCTATCCAGCGCTTCCAGGTTTTTACGGTGATCTAGTTTCAATTGGCTCATGATATCAATCATTGGAATTACTATAATATCCACAAAAACTCTTCTAGAATAAATAATAATTAGACTCATGGAAATGGTTCAACACAAACAAACATTAATATAACAGTGTTTGAATAGATCTATGTTCTGTTTATTACTGAATTTCAATTTGGAATAATTTAATATTCAATTTCATATCGATTCAACATATTATTTTATTCTAATGTGTGGTATTTTTTAATCTTTTTTTCCATATAAATAGTCAAATATAAAAATAGGAAAAATATGGAAATTCAGCGGGGATTTCCCCCCCCCCACAAAAAAACAAATTTACTTGGTAAAATAGAAAAACCATACTATAATACCTAATTTGCAAAATGTTCAATAATTGTCTCGAACTTTGTTGTTCTTGCATTTCCATACTAATTGCCTTCTATTCCTGAACTTCCTTTCTTGATCTTCCCCATCTTCTGCTGCCAGGCATTACAGTCCTGACTCGCGTCATATACTACTTATATCAATATAAGTAGCACGCACCACAATAGTATCAATGGTGGTGGTAGAAATTAGTTAATGTAATTGTTTATTTTTTTGTTTTCCTGCTACCTTTTCTTTGTTTACTTTTTATAGTTATTTATTCTTCAGAAATGAATATAGTTGAATGTAGTCAACAACTAAAAACACATGTGAAATGGGTTGACTAATGGTTAAATTATTTATTTGAAGTAAATTTATTTATGGATATGATATAAAATGATATGCTTGAATTAAAAGTATAATACTGTAAATTCCATTATATGAAAATGAAATTAATGTAGTTACATATTTAGTATTAATTTACGAAAAAATTCCTTACTATCATTATGAAATTTCTTGTAGTTTTGTTTTCCATCAATCTGTCAATTAGAGGTTAGAAAGAAACCAATAAATTTTAGAGGAATCTAAATAATTCACTTGGTATTGTCCCAGAGTGAACATCAACCCTGAGATGCAGGTACATCCAGCTCACGAGTCCCATATAGGAGGAGACGCGCGTCCTGGATTCCACTGCTAGCCACTATCCATCTTTGCTTATAAAAATCTAAATACTTTTTTAAAATATGAGAACACTTCGTAGTCAAATATATTTATCCGTAAAGTATATTTTGAATTTACTGCTCAAACAAGTGAATATGTGTATCATTATATAATCATTTAGTAATCAGTATTGATACAACACTAAAGTCTCCATTCATCATGCTGTTTAGAGAAACCCGATATAAAGGTATTGATTTATTCGTACTTATAAAGAACAGTTGTCTACTTCCGCTTAGAACTATTCTGCGTAAATGAACAACACTAAGGTATTGTTTTTGGATGCTATCTTTTAATAAAACGCATTTACTTTCTATCCTTAAAAAATGCTGGTTTCTTTTCATACCAACGGATCTTATCGTTTGTTGAAATCTTAATGACTTATTTGAGTAATTCTACCACTACAACTATCACTACTGGAAACATTCTTCTCTATCCGTCTATCATACATGTTCACTGTAAAACATTGTTAAAAATTTTAGCGGTCTACAACAAACATCAAGACAAGAACAGTAATACAGACCGAATCGTAAATAACAATTCTATTTAAATAAAGGAATATATTTATATAATAGTTCCATCTTGTAAGTTTTATTCCATTGATATAAACATCGAACCATTCGCTGAAAACATTCAACTTCATTTAAGTGTTAAAAAGAATGATCCATGCATATAGTAATGACATTTCTAAAATAACCAGCAATAAACTAATATCATTTCAGTGTTCTTTTAATTTGGGTGATTAAGATTAAATCACTTAACAGTTTTGCTTGAAATTAATCAGTAATCATTGCATAATTAATTTATAATCGAAAATTTTACTCTCTTTGTTCTATCAAATAATTATGATTCCTTTTCTATTTTGTTAATAATTTTTTTAAGATTTATTTTCTACAGAAAGAAACTGAATTACTGGTCATGAATTCAGATGGGACATAAGTTTATAAGCAAAGACGGCCGGTAGCTGGCAGTGAAATCCAGGACGCTCTTTGTCCTATTAGGGATAACGCGATGGCGTTCGAAGCGAACGGTATTGAGTTTGAGTCCCAGAGTGAATATCAACTCTGAGATGCAGGTACATCCAGCTCACGAGTTCAAAATGGGACAGAAAATGCGTCGTGGATTCGACTGCTATCCATTATCCATCTTTGCTTATAAAGCTTGTGGATTAAGGCAACATCGAGGCAATACGCACAGTATGCACATATGTAAATAATAGACTGTTCAATTGAAGTCCTGAACGTCAATGGAAAGATTCAAGTAAACAATACCAAGTGAATTGCAACATAAGTTGTCCTTTTTTTCTTATATTTTTATGCGTTAAAAAATATTTATAAAATTTTAGTTACATTACTCGGTAATTTTTATTAACACAGCTACCGATTATATAATCCAAACATGGACTCATATGATTTAGTAATGACTCAGAGTATGGTAAAATGTAATATTATCAAGCGTATACAAAACTGCCTAATTGTTGTAAAGTATACTGGAAGACAAAAAAATCACCTCTGGAGATAAACTTCATGAGAACAACTACATTTTAAAATGGTTGTTCAGTTGGACCAAATGCACACATTTCGTTCGCACAAAAAATTATTGAATTGGTTGTAAACCATTCCTAGGTGTAAATTTATTGGCTGAATTCAAAGGATCTTGTCTATTATTTATCGAATGCTATATTTATATTACTTTTGAACCTAATCAAAAGACTGTCTAAGTAGTTTGAGTTGTTTAGAATGATAAGTTATATCAATGCATAACGAGTAGAAGTCTCGATAGTAGTGTTAAGACTCTAAAACAGCTAAAGTTACACAAATTTTACACATATGTTGTAAACGTCAATTTTAATTTACAAAACACATGGTAACTAACCTTTAAAAAAAGATTAACTACAGAACTTTATTCAAACTAGTATAAACAGCCATACGGTTGGATACTGTTTATTTAGTTAATAATGAAGAAGCAGAATTACTATTTTAAATTAAGCAAACACCAAACTGAATCCTCGAAGCCGTATACATTAGAATTCTAATTACAATATCTATAAGATATTCAAATAATTTGTATGGAAATTTCAAGGTTAAACTTGTAACTTTACTTCTATCCATAGACAGAAACATATCTTAAAACCATAAAAACTATTTGTCATTATTTTATTAATGACAATTGAGTGAAACGTCATTATTCAACCTTGATACTTTTACATATTACTCGTTTATCCATGTTATTTTGAAAATTAACATGAAAAGTACTATAAAGGAAAATAGATTCAAATAAAATAAACGGACATATTCTTTTTACACCTTAATTGGCATGTGTAACCTTCACATCAATAATTTTACTTTACATGGTTAACATAAGGGACTTATGAAAGCTTATATGTTATACAGAGTTAAAATTAGAACAATTATTCAGAAAGTTGTTTTTTTTATTTTTTTATCGAAAGTTGAACAGTTTAAATCTCATGATGAAAATTTAACTGTCAGTTGTCAGTTGGCCATTGAATCATTTATTCTAGTAGACGCAATATGTTCTACATAAAACTTGGTAGAAAAAAAGACAAAAACACCATAGAAATATTGCACTTCAATAACTGTAAAATGTTATTTAATAACAATAGTAACAATGAATTAGACATGGACTGAAGTAAAACTAGTCACTGAAGTGACACAATATGATATATATATATATATATATATATATATATATATATATATATATATATATATATATATATCGTACAACATGTAATAATCTGAAAAGAACAGAACATGTAAATTTTAAGTTAATATAAACAGGAAATTTATAGATTAAGCTCAATCGTTAAATAATTACTAAAGAAAACTTACCTTGAAGTCCATCATAATTTCTAATCAATTCAACAACAGAATAATTATTATAGTGTGTTTTATCCGTTGAATTTGTATACGAACTAGACGAAATATCATCGTCATCATTATCATTATCATTCGTTGAAATATTCGATAAATTGTAACTTTTATCACTTCTCATAGTAAATACCTAAAAACAAATTATATATTTTAGTATATGATAGAACAATGAAATTAAACCATTATATGCGAAAAGGAAACGTTAGAATTATTTAAATTTCAATCACTGAGATTATTTCAAATACATATATATGGCGCCCAAGTTTTGTCAAACCATTCATTCTAATATTGAAGGATATGAGTATAAATGAAATCAAATACATTTAATCAATACTTGAACATGATACTTGTTTGAATTAAGAAGGAACGAATAGAGAGAAGAAATTTCTTTTCAATTAGTTATTCATCATAGCTCTAAACTAATATATATATATATATATATATATATATATATATATATATATATATATATATATATATATATATATATATATATATATATGATTTACAATAATGAAAAAATACTCATTGAATAGATACGAGATTGTAACTCAGAGGTCAACGTAGGTGCTACAGAAAACATTTAATGCAGTCAGACTAAGTGCTATCTTCTACAACCACCCCACAATAAGAACGGCGAATAAAGACAGATTGCCTGAATTCGCTAAATCCATGTGTATTTATCGACTCAACTGCTCCTGTGGAGCCGGTTATATAGGATGTACAATTCGACAAGTTCGTCATCGTATAACAGAGCACCATCCGTCGTGGTTGAGCAAAGGACAGGTAAGAGTGATTAAGAGTTCTATTTTCGCTGACTTGGTTGACACAAGTAATCAAGTTGAACTGAAAAAAGCTTTTAAGGTTACCTACCATATTTCATGGTTTACGAGTGCGTCTTTTGTACATTACTGGAGCCATTGCAATCCATGTTCACAAATCTAACCTTTGCATTCGAAAGAAGTTTGTACAACCACTTTCGCTACCCTGGCCATAGGTATAGGGGCTTTTGTAGCAAAACATTGATAAACTATTTTCGTACTTCTTCCATTTTGTTTTTTGAACTTTGTATTTTACATGTTCTCAACATTCATCTCTTGATTCTTACACAACTACTATTCTACTGACCATTCATCAAAATATTCTGTTCCTTCTCTTCTTCATATATTATGCAACGTAGCAGCTTCTTGATTTTCGAACAATTACTTTGATTATTATTAATCCTCTTTCTTCCAATTACCCAATGTTAATTTATGATCGAAATGTCATTATGTAATTATTACGCAACGTATCTACTCGATGAGTATTATTTCATTATTGTAAATCATATATATATAAATATATTAGTGTAGAGCCATGATGAAAAACTAATTGAATAGAAATTTCTTCACTCAATTCATTCCTTCTTTGATTTAACAAATGTCAAAATAGGAATTTTCACTATATTGTTTGAATTAGTTAATAAATGTTATATAAAATTAACTGACTTTTCTTTTAAATACTTCAATTTAAATTTTCATGACAATTAAACTTATAAAAGTAGACTAAACATGAAATTTTCTTTCAAAATGATTAACCTTAACAATAGTTACAAGAATGAAACGGAATAAAGCGAGTTGTAGAATAATTACTGACATCTATTATTTATATTATAAATTGAGGTATTTTTAAAAAAAATTCATTAATCCAGTGATTATTACATTGATTTTTGAAATAATAGTTGTTGGATTTCAATAAATACACTTTCTGTATTGCAAAATAAAACCATAGATTACTGGATATAGCTATAAAAAATAGTCATGAAGATAGTCTGAGACTGTATCAAAACATTCAGACAAGGAGATAATTAAACCCAGAAGTTTCATCTGCTGAATTATTAATCAGAAGTCCAAAGATATCATACTAGTTTTAATACATATAATTTTTTAGTCTGATTCTATATGAAATTACACATATCCACGGCTGAGAAATGTCAGAAAAAAAAACAAAATAATACTATAGTAATTGTTAGTATTCAATTACTATGAGAAAGAATCAAGGTAAAGTGGAAACCTGAATAACCCGATTGTTTGCTGCTTACTTATGTATGTGTACATTCGTATGGAGGATATTAATAGAATTTCTCACATTAGCAGTTTGTTGACCATATATAAATAATTATGAAGGTTTGTATATTTTTCATTTTGATTTTCAAAACTAAATTCAAAGAATCGCTGAGTATTGACCACTCGAACGAGGACCTGAATGCTTACTTATCTACTTTGTTACCTCTCGTGAAGAAACATAAGCCTTCCACCAGCATTCTCCATTCACCTCTGTCCTGGACAATACTATCTAGCTGTTTTTACTTGCCATTAATCTTTTTGATGTCTGCTTCCAATTCTTGATGCACTGGGTGCTTTGGTCTTCCTCTTTTTCTTTTCCCTTCAGGATTCCAAGTTAGCACTTGCCTCATGATGCAGTTTGATGGTTTCCATAATCTATATCCAACCACAAACTCCAACGTCTTTTCCTAATTCCTCCTCCGATGGAAGCTAGTTTATTCTCTCCCACAGTAGGCTGTTACTGATAGCATCGAGCCAACAGACATTCAGTATCTTGCGAAGGTAGTTGTTTATCAATACTTGTAAATATTTGATGATGGTTGTGGTAATTCTCTAAGTTTCAGCTCCGTATAGAAAAACTGTCTTGAAGTTCGCATTGAAAATTCTGACTTTGATGTTGGTTGACAGACAGTTGATCTGAGTTCCACATATCCCTCAATTGTAGGAAATACGACCCTTGCTTTGCCAGTCCTCACCTTTACGTCTGCATCCGATCTTAAAACATTCATCGACGATGCTGTTCAGATAGGTATGTAAAAGATTCCACTTGTTTCAGAGTTTCCCCAAAAAGTGTGATTAGGTTGGTGTTCTTTGTAATGTATTTGAGGATTTTCTTTTCCCTTTTGTGTATGTTGAGGCCTATTGATGCAGAGGCTTCTGATACACTAGTTGTTTCGACCCCCATTTGTCTGTGTGTATTGGATAGAACAGTTATGTCATCTGCAAAATCCAAATCGTTCATTTGCATACAAGCTGTCCATTGAATACTGTGCTTCCTCTCAGATATCGAAGTCTTCATAATCTAGCCGAATACCAAAAAAAGAGAAAAGGGGAGAGTAGGCAGCCTTGTCTGGCTCAGGTCGTTACTTGAAATATGTCTGTCAGATGTCATTCATGCACTGCTTTGCAGTGTGGTTCACCGTATGGATTCCGGATGATGTTGACTATTTTCTCAGGTACACCATAGTATCGAAGGAGATTCCACAATGGTCTATTCACGCTTTCTAATGCTTTCTCATAATCAAGGAAGTTGCTGTATAGTGACGTATTCCACTCAACTGATTGTTCAACGATGATCAGTAATGTCACAATTTGGTTTGTGTACAACCAATCCTTATGGAACCCGCCTTGTTGATCTGGAGGCCGGATGTCCACTGAGTCTTTCATCCGGTTCAGTGACACTCTGTTGAAAACTTTTCCTGGTACCAATAGTAGTGTGATGCCTATACATGTGAGTACTTACAATTGCTCAGATCCCTTTTTTGGTTTCTTGATAAAATATCCTTATTTTCAGTCTGTCAGTGGCACTTGTTCTTTCTCCCGAATTTACCTGAATAGAACTTGGAGCATGTTTGCAGTTACTTTAATGTCTGACCTTGGTACTTTGGCTGGTATATTGTCAGGCTCCCATTGAAGGTTTAGTAATTTTTTATGGTAATGATTACTAGTCAAATCAAGAATGAATATTTTACTCAGAACTCGTCATATAGGTATTTGATCAGCTCAGTAAATATCACTTTCATTTTCAAAGCGATTAGTAGTGTAATCAGAGTTGACATGAACACTGTGATATCTACATAAGTTACTGATAAATTTCAACCAACGTCACTTATATCTCAAATTTCACTATAAGATGATAATATTCAGAATACAATCATTTTTTTATGTTTATAAATTCACCATAGATATTGTCACGCTAACTGACATTTATCTTACAAGACTGGGAGGCATTAATTTAAGAACAATTTATAAACTGTAGTATTCCATTAATCATTTCCAAACTGAATATTTATTACAGTGGTGAATCTTATTTTTTTGTAAAATTTCTAATTTGTTAAGAATGTTCTTAACAAAAGAATCGTGGATGCGCACTGCTGAGAAGTTCCATACTAGGACGATACAGCCATTCAGTGCTTCCAAGTTTTCTGTGGTGGTCTAGATTCAATTGACTCATGAATTCAACGATAAAATTACTAAGATCTTTACAAAACCCCTTCTGATAAAAATAATAAAACCCAAATATCTATGATTTACACATATTACTAAGATTTTAAAATAAACAAATAAATGAACAAAAAATATTCTTTTAAGTGAATCTCATACTAGATGTTTTATGCATTTTCTCATTTTAATAAGGTTTAGTCATTCCTTAACCGATTTATTTAAGATTAATTCTAATATTGTCAAATGAAAACTCTTTAAAAATAATCAAAGATTTACACGGAAATTTTCTATTTCACAAAGCTGTAAATAAAAATTTAAGTCAATCATCATAAAAAACATTTACAATTCTCCTTTTGTGCACTCATCCCAAGAAATCCCATCCTGTTCACATTCCTTAAATGTCTACAGTGAAAATTAATGAAGAATATCCTAGTCTAGTTAGTTATTTCATTCCAGTAAAAAAACAATTTCGTTTGTCTGGGAATGCCTAACGAGATTAATGTTAGCTTTGATGACAAAAACCTTAAGGTCTACATTAAAAAAACTAGTCAATATCAACTAGTGTTAATAGGCTACTAAATAATTTTTGAATCTTAAATCAGATAAATTACATTGATATATTTCAATTTTGCTACAGTGATCCAGGAATTACTTAAATTTTTGTTAGTAATGTTAGTTATAGAAGAAACAGTAATTATATATATACACTTCTTCTGATTCATTTTCTTTCAGATTAGTTACCACTACTCTTAATTCAATAATTTTCTGTATTTTTAAAGACCATGATTTTAACTATTTCAAGTTGTTCTGCCTTTTCTGCTCAAATATCAAGTTTCTAGTGTACTTTGTCTATTTTTAATGT